AAGTGAAAGTAAAAAGCGATCGTGCATTCGAAAGCAGTTTCAATGCCCCGCATATTAATAGCGGCTTCCTGATGCCCGCATTTTATATACAGTATAATTACCCAACGATATAACTGTGAGAGACAGTATTGAAATATATATTTTCCCTGTGTTTTCTTCCTGCTGTGTGAGCTACTGAAATGAGCAGCACTATGAAACAGCCAATCAGAGCAGAGCTCCTTGTGTGTGTGTGTGTTTGGTTTGGCATGGCGGGGCTGTTGCCTCTTGTGTTGCCGTGCGGTGGGGTGATATCCAGAGGGCCAGAGCTTGGCTGTCTAACAAAGAGAACCCTGTGGATGGAAAAACAGCTGAGAGGGGGTAAAGTATGGCATTGTTAATCCCCTCCAAACCTGATGGTAAAAAATAAACAACAACACAGATTGAGATTCCTGGCAGTCTGGCGGTTTAATGACAGAAGCCTGTGATCTTTTCCTCAGGGTTAATTTGCTAATCTTGTTTAAGACAGAGTGTTCTGTTGAAGTTTAAAGTGTCATGAAACCCCCGTTTCAGCACTGGTCTTTCACACCTTGGATCTGAAAAAGACTCCAGAAATGGGCGTGTAAAACTGTCGAAAGTGGGAGTGTAGAGGGTGGGAAGAGGGGAGAAAACAACCAATAAAACAGGCCTACAACACACTCATGATACAGACAAATGAATATTAAAATATCTTTAAAACAGAAAGAATAAAGGCAGTTACTTTCTGTTTACTCTTATTTGAATTTTCCGGAATCTGTCGTGTCATCGCGCTCATGATCAGACGAGCCACAGCTGCCGCTGTATCAGCGCATGCCCTTATTTGCGCATCTTTTATTTGAAGAAGACATTATATGTGCGCGTGCTAGTTCATGTTTGGAGCAAGGGATAATATAAACCATGTATGTTCATTCACATAAACTAGAAACACGCTTGCTCCGGTTCGGATATGAACTATGATTTAATGTGTCATTAAACCCATCGCGGCGTTCCGCGCAGAAACATGCGCTCCCCACGTGTTGTCATATTAAATATTGTTACGGTGATGTTTAGAAATGAACTGACTGCGCGGAAGCTCTTTCGTGAGATTTGAATTCTCCGCTGTAAGACTACCTCATGCATAATACAGAGCAGTGATTGGATCATAAGAGTTCATTCTCATGAATAATACTGAAAAAAGCTCAGAAAACTGATGACGCAGACGTGTACTCTCCAGCCACGCCAGCCAATCACCACTCCAGATTAACGCATATACGTCACTTTTCGTGACGTAGGCTCAACTTTGCTTTTTGAACCAGAAGAACGATACTGCTTCAAAAAATAAAAAAAATAAACACTTTTACCTTAATAATAGACATAATGAGTGCTAAAGTTGTTTTTACTGGTGTGCAACCTGTTCATATATGTTAACATAAAATGTGTTTTAGGGTTTCATGACACTTTTAAGGGCAAATCTAAGAAAAACTTTTTCTTCCCCTATTTGGAACTTCGCTTGGTAACATATTTGCTGTATTTAGGTCTTATGTTGAATATCTACTAAGGTTGTGCACAAGTAACCAACTAATCAAGTACTCATTCTGCACCAACTAATTGTTTAAGTTACTAGTTAAAACACTATTCAAATAATCTTTGAATAGTGTTTTGGAAATAATTAAATGTACTCTCACTATGTGATGCCATTTGTTTTGAATATTTTCTTTTTATATTATGAATATATTATAGGCTACATATTAAAAAAATCGAGTCTTGATATTTTGTAAATGTTTTTATCTTATGTGAGCTTGTTGAAATTTAATATATGTGAAATATACAAACCAACTAATCAAGTACTCATTCTGCACCAACTAATTGTTTAAGTTACTAGTTAAAACACTATTCAAATAATCTTTGAATAGTGTTTTGGAAATAATTAAATGTACTCTCACTATGTGATGCCATTTGTTTTGAATATTTTCTTTTTATATTATGAATATATTATAGGCTACATATTTAAAAAATCGAGTCTTGATATTTTGTAAATGTTTTTATCTTATGTGAGCTTATTGAAATTTAATATATGTGAAATATACAAAAAGTGAATATCACATGCATGTCATACTCATTATTTTTAACTAGTTGTTGGTAACACTTTAGAGTAGGGAACACTTATTAACTATGACTTTTCCCTCAATAAATTCCTAATTTGCTGCTTATTAATAGTTAGTAAGGTAGTTGTTGAGTTTAGGTATTGGGTAGGGTTAGGGATATAGAATAAGGTCATGTAGAATAAGGCATTAATATGTGCTTAATTTGTACTAATAAATGGCTAATACTCTAGTAATATGCATATATCTGAGACCAGTTCTCACTATTAACTAGTTACTTATTAGCATGCATATTACTAGCATATTGACTGTGTATTAGTACTTAAAATGCACATATTAATTCCTTATTCTGCATGACCATATTTTGGATCCCTTAATCCACCCCATACCCAAACTGAACAACTACCTTACCAACTATTAATCAGCAGCAAATTAGGAGTTTAATGAGGCAAAAGTCATAGTTAATAGTTAGTTAATAGTGAGAATTGGTCCTTAAAATAAAGTGTGACCATAATGAATATTAATAATAACTTTCTGGTCGACCATTATGCCATACAGCATTATTTATCCAGTTTCTTTCCATCTTTTTGTAAATGGATGTTTTTTCCCTCCACCTGGTGAATTTATTATTTCAATCTTATGATGCTTTTCATTTTTACATGTTGCCCTCTTTTATTTTGTTCCCACCCTGTTTTACATCCACCCATCTGATAGATTCATGTAGACTAGTTTTCTAAGAGTTGAACTGCTGCCCCCTTCACTTTGTCACAATCCGTGACATTTTGAACTCTGCTTTTTATACAAAACCAGCATTTCCATTTTCCATCTCTTTTAAATGGGAGAAAGCATGCATAATCAAGCTGTCATTGTCAGTTCCCTCTTTTAGCGTGAGTGCTTCGCAGGCTTTTGGGTGGTGTTAAATTAAAGTCAGTCTGCAGAGGGTTTAGCCAGTATCTCCAAACAGAGTTTTGAGTGGAGTTTTGCCAGAGTGAGCCCACAATGTCCACTGCATGTTGCTGGATCAATAGGATCAGATGTCACAAAAACACCTGCAAATTACTTTTTTTGTAGGGCTGAAACATGTCACAATGCTTTTTCTACAGTTAGTCAGTGTTAACTTGGTACGGTTCTCATGCAATAATATTACATAACAGCATGAATATTCCAGAGAGGCCAGTCTGATGAACTTTTCGTAGGCTGTGAACATGTTCAGTCTAAACTCCATCCAATAGATTTGTGTGATACATGTGGAGATATGAGGACCACTTGTATAAAAAAAAGAGTGGGAGAAATTGCAATGGTCAGTATGGCTGCTATAAAAATGGAAGTCTTGGAAGTTAATATAGCCTTTTTGATTTCCTTTTTGATTTACAATCATCATGTCTGAGCAGACAATTTTATCCGAAACTTTGTCAAGATGGCCGTCAATGGAACTGACTTGTCTCAATGGTACATATTAGCACAATTGGTCAGGAGAATCATTCAATAAGTGGCTTCTTCATTAGTCATGTGACTCTTTAAATGCGTTGTAGTACATGAATCAAATGGTTCTTCTCTCTCCTTTCAGGCATGGAAGAAGCGATGGTTTGTTCTGCGCAGTGGGAGGCTGACAGGAGACCCAGATGTGCTGGAGTATTACAAGAATGACCATGCCAAGAAGCCCATCCGCGTAATCGATCTGAACCTGTGCGAGCAGGTGGACGCCGGTCTCACATTCAACAAGAAGGACCTGGAGCACAGCTTCATCTTTGACATCAAGACTATCGACCGGATCTTTTACCTGGTGGCAGACACTGAAGAGGAGATGAACAAGTGGGTGCGCTGCATCTGTGATATCTGTGGCTTCAACCCCACCGATACGGAAGGTAAGTTGTCACATGCAAATACACACCTAGGAATTTAATGATTATGATTTCAGACCGTTTCATTAAACAATTCTTTAGTACTTTTGAGGAAAATATTTGATGGGAAAAGAAATCCAATTTCATTTCCAAGTAATGGAATAATAAATATATCTAAAACGGTGTTTTCTAAAGATGTTTACACGGATTATGTTTGTGAGCTCATGTGGCAGCGAAAATCACACCATGTACACCTGCACTTAGAGCCATCATAAATCCTATCCAATATCAGGCCATAACTAAATAATAACAATACTAAGCAAACAAAAATGTGGTCAGCTTTTTATAAAATATTACTGGAAAAACTCATAATGTACATCTTTAACGGTACATTGTCATATTGTACTACCAGTCAGTAACTACAGTGACGTCTCATGAGAAAAGAAACGCTCATGAGAGTCAGTCATTTTATCAGAAGTCAACTACACATCATTTGGTTTCTTTTTTAATTTTAACTAAACTAATTCTTGTTTCCTAGCCCCAGAGAAATCAAATAATTCTAGTTCAGTATATACTACCATTCAAATGAGGTTGGTAAGATTTTTATTTTTTTTTTCAAAAGAAGTCTTACCAAGGCATCTTTTTTTATTAAAAAATATTCCTTTCCATTGCTTACGAATATTATCAAGTTTTATTTGTTCCTCTGATGACAAAGCTGAATTTTCTGCAGCATTACTCCAGAAAATTTTGAGACTGTTCTGCAGCCATTACTAGTTTTGATCCTTCAAAATTAATTCTAATAATATCCTAATTTGCTGCTCAAGAAACATATCTTGTTATTGTCATTTGTCAATGTTGAAAACCTGATTTTTTTTTGGATACTTTGATCAATAGAAAGTTTAAAAAGAAATGTTTTAAAAAATTGTCAGTTTTGATCAATGTAGTGCATACTTGCTGAATTGAGTAGTTTATATTTTAAAAATAAGGGTGTATTCACACCTGTCTTGTTTGGTTCGAATGAACCGAACTCAAGTTCGTTTCCCCTCTTGGTGCGGACCTTTCTGGCAGGTGTGAATACAGCAATCGCACTCGGGTGCAGACCAAACAACCGCACCAAGACCCAGCTGAAGAGGTGTTCTCAGTCCGCTTCCAAATGAACTCTGGTGCGGTTCGTTTAAGGTGTGAATATGACCTGACCTCGATCCGACCCAATTGCAGAAATCACGCTCAGAAACAGACAGCTCGCGCATATAGTGCTGTTATTTGCGTTTCAATGGCTTAAATCACTTGTTTTTAAACCACAATGCTTAAAAACACATTTCATGACCATGGCGCACAGCAACGTGACGTGAGAGCGCTAAATAGGCCTAAAGCTTGCCGCAAAAATTACCATGACTATGTTGGGGGAAAATAGTAAGGAGATAGAATTATTTATTAATAAACTAGTGTTTTATGTGTCAGTGTCGCAATGAAGTTGATGATCCTGACTCGCCCGTCTCATCATTGGACGCGCCTTTAGAAAGAAATGCATCTTTATTGATTACATAATGAGTTTTTGTTTTGGATTTGAATTATTTCGTTTATTTGTTTTCTTTATTTTACAAAAGCACAACGTTTTCTTGATATTGTGAGTGCACACAAATAAAAATAGACCCTTTACAGTTCCGGACGATGTATTATTCTTACCTTTATGAGCAAAAATGACGGCATATTTAATTTGTTTCCACTGATTTCCTGAAGCGCGCTTCAGCTTCCACTCTCCGCACAAACAATTGGATATGCACCTAATAGCGCACATTTATCTAGGTTAAATGTTTAAAATAACATTGTGATATGCTTTAAGTATTTTATATCTATAGATTTTATTTTCGGCAAGTCGTAATTACAACATCGTATGACATTGTCTCATATGATGCTCATAAGTTTCTTTATATTGCGTTAGTATCTGATAACACCAAATCAGTAAAAGAATAAAAATTGTTCTACAAAAGATCTCCATGATTAGCCTGTTTTTGCACTTCCTGTTTTTCCCTGCTTGAGAATTTCTGTCCAATGAATGGGATGACCTTAGCACACATGTCGTTTTGTTTACAGTTTCTGGTTCTCTTGCAAAAAAGGGCAGTGTGAAAGCGAACTGCACCAAAAAAAAAAAAAATCAACATTGTATTTGGTCTGGACCAAAGCAAGTGAACTAGCGGACTTTCCTGGTGTGAATTAGGGCTGTCAAATTTTTTTTTAATTTCGAATATTCGAAAAATCCACATTCGAATGCAAGTTGAAGCCACTAGATGTGGCGCTGCTACTTTGTGTATTCAAAATATTGTGGAAAAAGAGAACATCAATGCGGAGAAGATCTTGTTTACATCAAAACTGAAACCAAGTCGTTCAAACAGAATGCATTTTCTAGAGGGACATCTATCACCGTTGCACTCGCATCTCGCACAAAGGAGCCGCATGTTTAGAAAGCCATGTAAAATTAATGCAAGTTCAACTTTGAAAAAAACATATATCAAGACTTTATAGCGGGTTTTTTCCCATCCCACTGCATCTCATGTTTTTAAATAAAAAATGTGCTCTGTGTGATTGGCTTTCCGCCCTTTGTATTAAACTATGCATACATATATGATGCTGTTTTGTTTATAGTTGTTTAAGCAATATAATTAATTATAATTGGTTTATAAACATTATTTTAAACATTATGCACTTTTTTTCACAGATAGTCTTTATCTTATGCTTTGAATAAACGTGCATTAGTAATTTTTTGCTCGGTGCACCCTCATGGCCTCAGAAGAGAAGCCAAAAGCTATTCTTCCCCCTAACTGAAATTATGCATTTTAAATTTGAATATAATTCGAATTTTGATAATATTTAAGTACAAAATTCGAATTTAGTTTTTCAGCCATTTTGACAGCCCTAGTGTGAATACACCCTAAGTATTTTATTGACAAATCTATGGTTTGGATTCTTGCACTCCCAGGCCCTGCAGGCATAATGGTCAATCACTGAATTGCAGATACTAGATCGAAGTGCCAAAGCCCAAAGTGCCCCCCTAAGATTGACTAATTGTGGCACCACGGGGTCTCCATCAGCTCAGCAGTATTGATCTTAGATGCTGTCGGCTCACTGTGGCCTTCTTTAAAAGTGATGTGAAGTTCTAAAAACTTGTGAATTCTGTTGTGGTAAATGATGCTCATGTTGGTTTCTAATGAGGAAGTGCTTATGTTTAAGCTATGGCTTTGGAAAACGCTTGTGGTTGTACATCTGGCCTTCACCGTTTTGTGAACTTTTGCTACCTTATTGCAAAGATACAGTTGAGAAAAGACAGGAAATATATGAGAGAAAGAGGTAGGAGAAGGGGTGTAACAGTGCACAAACATTGAGGGGGAAATCCAAAGAAAAGTTTATTTTTTGTTTGTTTTGTTAAACACTGTTTTAGTGAGTTTGACTTGTAAGTGAGCTGTTATAATTAAGATGTTGTAAGTGAGGGAAGATATTTGAAGTGCTTCCATTTTTGGATAGGGCTGGGTATCGAGTTAGATACTTTTTAGGCACCGACCGAATTGCCTCGATACCATCGAGTATCGAAAAACGTCTCGTCGTTCGGTACCAAATTTCGATACCTAAGGGGTTAATCTCAAAACTATTTGCACTGATTTTTTGTTTGTTACATTTTGTTCCTTTGTGCAGTGGCTTTGAGTCTGTATAAACATCAACAAGCTGAAAAATAAAACCAAAGTTTTTTTTTAGATAATGTAATCTTGTTCAAATAGATTTCATAAAATTGGTATCGAAAAAAGTATCGTTCAGGAACCGGTATCGAAGTCAAGGTATCGGTATCGATATCGAAAATTTTTGAACGATACCCAGCCCTACTTTTGGATGCAAAACATTAACTAAATTTATATTTTAGTCAGAATTATTGCCCTTCCATTTTATTTTGTTCCATATGTTTGATGCATAATTTAGGAGATTTGCTTTCTTTCAGGATAAGCCATTATGCAAAATGGAAATCTATTTATTATATATAATAGTTATAATAGTTTTATTTATTTTTATCTATCTAGTCTATTTAATGGCTCTACAGTGCAGATGACTGTGTTGGCCTGCTTTTACCTCCTTTTATATGCAAGTCAACAAAATATGTGTTTGCTACTACATTTAAATTTAGGCATAATTTTATCATATTAATTTGGCCATGCATGCTTTGTTTGGTAACCTGCTGCGAGCGTCCAGGCAAGTAACTGAATATTCATGAACTACTTCTAAACTTGACAACTAATTAGTTAAAAAGTTAAGCCTTCTGGGAGAACATCACGTAATAATTAATATTCATGATCAATGCCTCTGCAGTAATTGGCTAAAGGTACTACTACTGAATTTGGTATTGTGACACCTCAAATGTTGAATTGTCACATTGTCATTCATTTTTTTGCTGAATTGATAATGCATTATATCAAAAAAAGACCAAACTGTTTTAAACTGTCAATTTTGTCTATTTTGATACACATAGAAGCCTGCCATTATTAGCCACCAGCACTAAACAGGGTACTGAGAATGCAAATATGTTGGGGGGATTTTCCAGGTCTTGGATGATTCAGCAGCAAGCTTGACAAACAAGAGCAGGGACGGGAGAAGGAGGAAAACGGGGGGAAAAAAAGTGAAGAGACCGAAAGAGACAAAGTGGCCCTGACAGCCTTGAGCTGCATGCACTTAGAAAGAGTCAAATGCACCCAGTGAGTGAGTGGGTGTGTGTGGGTGTCAATGTGTGTGTGCACAAGTGATGTGTTTGTGTGCGTTTTACTGAATAACTCAAAGCAGAGTTTGAAGAGAGACTTGTACAAAAACATGCACAACCACCCCGTTAGCCGCACTCCACTGACCTTGAGAGTAGGCTGTTCAAAGAGAGATGGAAATAAAAATAAAAAGTCAGAGATAAAGAAAAGCTCTTTTAAAAGAACATAGACAACAAGCTTTACAAGCTATCCTTGATGCCACATAAAAACCGAGACTCCATCTTGGATTAGTGGCACTTTCATTAGCGTCTTGTGTTCAGGGTTCCTCTCTACACAGTTCTGCACTTTCACACGGCCTGTGTAGGATGGCGGCCTTAACCTTGATCAGTCCCTTTACAAAAACAAATATTTAACTCTCCCTCAAAGTAACATGGTCATTGCTGCTCTCGATTAGAATCTTATCCTCAAAATATATCTGGATAATTGAACATAATTTCAGTCAATTTATTGTAAAATGCTGTAAAATGCTTTAAGACCCGATGAAATCGAAGGGGAGTTTTGTTGTTTTTAGCCCATATATATTAGCTTTAAAGCTATCCTTTGTTAGTGTACTCCTAAAAACTGGCAAAATTAGCCTTGAGAAGATGAAATTGACAATATTCCTCTTTTGAGAACATAAAAATATTCACAAGCCATCTTGTGGTCTCAATGATTTTGTCCAATCAGCTGGTTCTTCTCTCAATAACACCTGTAGCCGATTAGCAAGAAGCATATCATCACATGAATTATGATTTAGCTTAAACCTATTGTTTTTTGTGTGCGTGCGTGTGCGTGTGTCTGTGTGTGTGTGTGTGTGTTTAAAGACGTGGTGTGTTCAAATCCTCTTAGGAAGTAATTAAAAGTCTTAGTTACAACGTCAGGTGTGTTCAAGTCATTTGTTGGTGGAAGACATTGATCTGTTAAAAATACATTTTAAAAATCTTAAAAAAGATTTTAAAACTTGGGCAAAATTGTGAATAAAGAATGTGTTCTTGCTTTTGATCTCATAAAATGTGAAGCTCAGTGATAATCTCTCCTATCTTCTTCTTTCTACAGACTCCGCAAAGATCTCTCACCAAGTAAATATGCCAGGGGGTCTGGTGGTGGATATGGCCCCTAGTGGAGGGCCAGGAGGAGCCTTAGGGGCTTATGCACTGGCCAACCTGCCTCCTCCCTACCAGCCTGTCAGCATCAGACCCTTGGGGTCCTCCTCCAGTCTGGATGAGCCTCAGGACTACCTTTGGCTGCTCAACTGTGAGAGCAAGAAACCTGAGCCTAACAGGTAAGACACAACGTCTGGGGTATGTGTACATTGGCTATTTTAGTGCGTGGCTCATCCAATAATTTGTAATGTAGGCCTGCTACTGTTTTGAGTCTGTTGTTTTTAAATCAGCTGTTATATAATGTGAATACCGCCCACTCCTGCTAAGACGCTTCAGGACATTCAGGTGCTATGGGTGAAGACCTGGATATATGGGGCTCATTTTATGTATTTTTGTGTGTGGTGTAGTCCAGTGGTTCCTCTTGCTCTAGGAGAGGAGGAGCAGGAATACCTGCTTCTGGAGGAGTGTGAGAGCAGGAGCGCTCCTCCTGACTGTCAGTGAGTGAAGAGCATCGGTGTGAAGAATACAATACTAAACAACACACACACAACCGCCAAATACTGTTATTTTTACCTGAAAATCTGCACACTTATTATAACAACTTACTAAAATATTTATTCTACTCAGATTTGACTAAAATGGGTTGGTATGTTTTCTTGCCTTCAGTGCTTAAAGGGATACTCCACCCCAAATTGAAAATTATGTCATTGATCACTTACCACCATGTCGTTCCAAACCTGTAAAAGCTTTGTTCGTCTTCGGAACACAATTTAAGATATTTTGGATGAAAAACGGGAGGCTTGTGACTGTCACATTGACTGCCAAGTAAATTACACTGTCAAGGTCCAGAAAAGTATGAAAAGCATCGTCAGAATAGTCCATCTGCCATCAGTGGTTCAATCTGAATTTTATGAAGC